CGATGATCTGGAAGGTTCAGTAATTGGGTTTTATGTCCAGATAACAAGGACATTTATAAGTGCTTTTTATAAGTATTTAAAAATGTTTCTATTTTTCTAGATTTCTACATTGATAGAAGACTACAAACTTTAAAATCCAGTATTTTACTGGAAACTATATATGGCACTCTATGATCCACTGTGTCATTCCTGCAGCCAAGAGAAATACCTGAAAACACTGACCAAGTCAGGGATTCAGGATAAGAATGCATTTCTGGAGCAGAGACGGGCGTGTGCGGACAGCACCTGTTCTTCCTCATCCATGGACCCTTCCGCCATTACAGACACCTGTGCCACCATCAAGACCTCTACCTCTCCACTATGCTAAAAGGTGTGGCACGGGCTTCTATTAGTCTCTCCTTCCATACAGAGTGAGCCTTTTTCTTTTTTTGAGCAAAAGCAAATACATAAATAAGTTTTATCATTTCATTCTGTGCATGCTATCCCAGGAAGTTAGTTATTGGTTGTTGCTTTTTATTTTACCTTTTCTTCTTGAGTAACTTTTAAATAGAAAACGAAACAAATATTTAGAACAGACTTTACAGTTTAATCTGTTTATATCTGTTCTTCTGGGAGTTAATTATAATAATAGCACTATCTGCAAACTGACTCGAGAAGTTAAGACAACACAGAAACAAGACGAACTGTATTGTATTCTAATGGACAGAAATGCATGAAAAGGAAAAAGTGGACAGAAGTACAAGGGCACATTTAGTCTCTAACTTGACGGCTCAAAGATGATTAAACCAAAAGATAAAACACTAAAATCTGAAATTCTACATTAAAAAGGTAGCTTTCAAGTTTAAATAAAGCGATATTCCTAACCTCCCCGCCTCCCCAAAAGAAATCAAAATGTTCTTCCTCAACTGCAGGCTCAAAGCCTGACATTCAGTTTGTCTGTGCTACCAGGTACCTTATATTGGCCAGCATAGTGGGTCATAATGATGATGGCACAGGCACTACCTGGTTCTCTTGGGATATGAAAATTATTCCCTTAATTTTTAAAAGTAAATATTTGGGAACATATATTATGTGACTGTCTCTTGGCTTAAATTACATTTTTGTAAGTGAGGGACTTTTATATGCCTGACAATGTGTGCGGGCTATAAGACTTCTAGGTGAAATGAACATTTTTCAATATTACCTGTTCTGATGCAGGTCTTCATATAACTGCTTTTTAAGGTTATAAACTAGAGACTCTAATTTGCTAAAAACGTTCTTGGCAGGGGGAGATCAAGCATTTAAAAAATAAAATAGGGGCAATAGCCACACCATACCAAAAAAGGGCCTTTCTTTCTATCAATGGCTTTTAGTAAATTTACAAACATCATGCATCAAATCAACTCAACAAAATGTACAGATTATTAATTACCTTTCAGTGTTTCCAGCAAGTTTTTGGCTACAAACCAACATATGGCTTCAAAGAAAGGGAATTTGAAAAGATCTGGTGTTTTTAGCCTTTTTTCCATCTCATAACACCTAAATAAATACAATTTAAACAAATTTAAACAAATTGAATATTAAATTTCAAAGTTAAATGGAGGCAACTAACTTAAGGAAAATAAATAAGCAAGCCATGACATATAAGAGCGATAAAGTACTGTATATATTACCTAACACCATATTTGGATACGACTGAATTGTGATCTTATCCAGGTCGACCTTAACAAATTTGACAGTATATTAAAGAATTACATTGGCCTTAGAGAAGATCATGCCTCGGGATTTCTATCCTAGTCTTAACTGGAGGAATTTTACGAGGGTTCCACTATGATAAGTGTTTAGAAGTTAACACCATGTGTGGGTCAACACTGCAACACCCACTCAGGTTTTCTTTAGGTTCTGCTGAGCAGTCAAGCTCGAGACCACACTTGGCACTAGTCAAGGGGAGAAGACAGGAACTGCAGCTTGCCACAGTGTTAGTCTTCTGTGGGAGTCTCTGCAGCAGTCCACACAGCCAGCCAGGAGCCATCTTTCCCCTCAGGGGCAGCTCAGGTATAAAGAAACAAGATTCACACTTGGCAGGTATAGGAGCTGCCTTAGCTTAAAGCTTCATGTCCAGTAAGAGCCAGTATTTCTTGTAATCACTCCACAGACACACGGCATCTAGGGTTCCCCATGGGCAAGCCAAGTTACAAGAGTCACCACATTCAGGAAAGCCCAAATATATGACTTCCTACTCGGTACTTCTAGTTCTCCCAATTCTGATGCAGTTTATCAATCAAGGATCATTTTACCATAATCAATGTTGCTATAACATTCTATTCTCATTAGGCTACCATGAGCACAGTTACCTAAAGGTCAAATACAGAACTGCTGTTAATCTTTTACCCACAGCAAAATTAAAGCAGGTTGTCTTGACAGCAATCCTAACTTAGGGCTGCTTTTCCCTAGTACCATATGTCAAACGTGAGCCTGATGGGGTTTAGTTCATTTCCCAAACCGTAAAAATAGCCGAAGGAAAGCCCATACATTTTTATAAAATTTTGAAATCTGAGAAGATATTTAATCTCAAACTGAATACATTATTATTATCATCATCATCATTTGTTTTTAGATTTGAAATGCATCAAGATGTCCTGACAATATTTTAAGACGCTTTTTGTTCCTATTCCTAGTAATTTCTCAGGGCCTATCTCCATTATATCTCAATTAAAATATGTTGTTGAATTTACATTTTTGAAACTTTTAAACAGAGTCCTATTTAAGAAAGGGTAAAAGATCCTTTAAATACTGATAACACAAACCTGAGCTGCATGCCAATGTTTAGGTTGTGGAGAAAGTTCCCCCCAAAAGCCATACAGTCCTGAGAAGTGAGTACTGCATGAATCCACCCTGAAATGGTTAAAAGTATATAAATCAGTGATGTCTCAATATTTAAACCAAATGTGATATCTATCTGAGAAATAAGAAACTCAAACTATCAACATCAATTTATTTCACCCACCAGTGCTAGAGAAGTTAATGTCTTATACAATCTTTAAGATTCATTCAAATATTTATTGAAGGCCTGTTATATGCCAGGCTCTGTGCTGAGTTTGAGGAAACAAATGTATTGGTCCAATTAGACAAAATCATGATGTGGGAGAGGTGAAGGTTTTTGTGGCTGTTGCTGTTTTAGTTTTTAATTTCAAAACACAATCCAACTTTATACTAAAGATTTTAATCTGAGACAAGTCAAATCTGGTAGAATGAGGCAAGCACATTTCTGTTAAGTGAACATCGAGACTGGCTGAGCACTTCACTTCCCTGGTATCTGAAATGAGGACCCTTAGGGACTAAGCGGAGGGGGCTCAGGAACTCACCCGGAGAGCTGCCTCCCAGAGGAAAAGGCAGATGACTCACACTTCATTAGGGAGGGTTTTGGTCATATAAATATAAATGTCAGCAATCAAAATGATGGCTTTCCCATAAAAATGCTTTCAAAGTGAGAATCATTTCTAAGAGATGCCTAATTTTTGAAAGAAATGTCCATAGTCCAAACATAAAGACTTTAAATATAAATAAATGTATGTACGTTTGCACATAAAAATTAGCTATCAATATAGATCCATTTTCTTTATATTTTTCATCTTTTGATCCCTCGTTGTGCCATGACAGAATTTTCAGGTGGTGCCCATTTGTGTGCTCAAAGGCACAAAGCCTTGAGCTTAACCCTGAAATCACAAATTCGAAGTCTGTCAGCTACAAATCCTATAGATCAATGGTTCTCAACAAAGGCAGTACTGCCTGTAGAGGGTATATGAGAAAGTTTGGGGGGCTTTTTTTGATTGTCACTATGATTAGGAGGTACTACTGTCATTTCGTGAGCAGGAGCCAGGGGTGCAAAATGCAGGACAGTTCCACATGGTGAGAAATACTGACGTCCTGCATTTCTCGGGCCTTTTAAATTTCTGCTGGGCATTTATATTTGAAATTTGTCATGAACTATGTGAGCCTAGAAGCTATAATTCCATTATATGACAGAGTAATTTTTGCATGGTTTGGACATAATTTTCCAAGAATACAACTACTCTGTAAATTTAGTTTGTTTGGAAGTTTATCAGTTGCCAACTACCTTGGAAAAAAATCACAATGCCTATAGCAGTGGTACTCTAAGCCTCTAGACCAGCAGCATTGGTATCAGTTGGGAACTCGTTAGAATGCAAATTCCTGAGCCCACTGAATCAGAACTACTGGGGATGAGGTACAGCGATCTGTGTTTTAATTAGCCCTCTAGGTGACTCTAATGCTCAATGAAGTTTGAGAACCATTCATCTACACAAACGCTATAGAATCTCAGCTGCCAATCATATACCTGTACTGGTTTGCTGGCTTATGCTCTAACTTTCATTCTGTCTTCTAAGGCCACTCTGCTTGAGCAGGCACATTTTGAAATAGTATTTTATTATCAATCACTTTTTAATTTCTTCTTTATATTCTAGTTAGGTCTTTACATCAACTTTTTTTGACATTTCTGGTATAGGAGGTTGTATCATCAATGAATTTGAGTTCAAGATTTTGAAGAGGGCATAACAAAATATTTGTTAGAAAAGGGAGCACTGAGAAGAGGACTTAAGGAAGGAGCTTAGCCCATTGACAATGAAAATACTGACACCCATCTAGATTCATAAATTCTGGTAGTTCCAGGCGTTAGTTAATTCATTTATCATGTACAACAAAGGCAGGGCAAGAGCGCGGCCTGTGGTAACAGATCCTGTGAATTCTGCCGCCATCAGGTCACCCAAATCGGAACACAATTCTCAAAACCACTGGCCTGGAGAGCCCGTACTCCGCATTCTGTCACGTCTCAAAATGACACACCTCATTCCTTCCTAAGGTCCCTCAAAATATGCCTGTTGCCTCCTAATTGTCCCAGGACAGCAGCCTTTGATAGCAATATAGAGCTAACCAGTAAAATTTTGAGCTTCATCAAAACTTAAAAAGTTTGTACAAAGGACGTTATCAAGAAAGTGAAAAGACAACCCACAGACTGGGAGAAAATAGTTGCAAATTATATGTCTGATAAGGGTCTAGTATATAGAATAAAGAATGCTTAGAACTCAACAATAAAAAGAAAAATAACCTAAAAATGGGCAAAGGATTTGAATAGACATTTCTCCAAAGAGATATTCAAATGGTCAATAAGCACGAGAAATATGCTTAGCATCATTGCTCATTAAGGAAATGCAAATCAAAATCACTATGAGATACCACTACTTCACACCCACTCAAGTGGCAAAAAAAAAAAAATCACAGTGCTGGTGAGGATGTGGAGAAATGGAATGAACTGTACACTGCTGGTGGGAATATAAAATGGTGCAGCCATCTGGAAAACAGTTGGACAGTTCCTCACAAAGTTAAATGTCAGTGAATCATAGGACCTAGCAATTCTACTACTAAGTATAGCCAAGGGACATGAAATACGTCCGGCACAAAAGCTTTTACACAAATATTCAAAGCAGCACAATTCATAATAGCCGAAAGGTGGAAATAACCCACACGTCCATCAACTGATGAATGGATAAATGAAATGTGGTATATCTGTACAACAGAATATTACTCAGCCATGAAAGTAATGAAGTGCTGACACATGCCATAGTAAGGATGAGCCTAGTATATACATTATGCTAACTGACGGATGTGAGAATGAAAAGGCCACATATTCCACATATATATATATACGTACATACACATATATAAAATGCCTAGACTAGGCGAATGCAGAGATCAAAAGTACATTAGTATTGCCAGGGGCCCAAAGGAGCGGGGAGTAGAGATGTGATTGCTAACTGGAACGAGGCTTCTTCTTGAGGCGATGAAGTGATCCAGAATTAGATAGTGGTACGGCCGCACGACCTTGTTAATCTACTAAAACCCACTGAACTGTACATTTTAAAAGGGTGAATATTACAGGATATGAACTTTATCTGAATAAAAATTAAAATAAAGGCAAATGGCATAAAATATCAGCCCAAAGCAACTCCTAACTGCAAGAGAAGCCCTCTAAGGCAAGAGTTCCCAACCGCGGGCTGCAGACCAGTACCGGTCCGTGGCCTGTTAGGAACCGGGCCCCACAGCAGGTGAGCGGCATGCAAGCCAGTGAAGCTTCATTTGTATTTGCAGCCACTCCCCAGCGCTAGCATCACCGCCTCAGCTCTACCTCAGATTATCAGGCATTAGATTCTCATAGGTGCATCGGTCCCTGGTGCCAAAAAGGTTGGGGATTGCTGCTCTAAGGGACAAAGAAGTAAAAAGTCCAAGATCAGGCTGTGCAAAGCTACTTTCCAAGCATGGGAAAGCCAGAGATTCTAATCAAAAACTGACTCCATGTGACTGAGTATCAACTATGGGGTGTGGGGGTGGGATTAAAACCTTACCTGTAGGAACAAATAAGGTATGTCCCTGCTTTACCACACATTTGTAGCATTTATCCACCTTATCACCAAAGAAAACCTCACTCTGGGTCACAGATGAACTCCAAGATTCATAGAGTGCCAAATTTTCATCTGTTGGCTTTATCAAATAAAAAATCTTCTCACCCTAAAAGGAAGTAATCACACTGGTTTTGAAAAGGAAAAGCCATTCTTAGGATGGCCTACATTGATGCAATTTCCCAATACAATAATCTAAATTAAATAAGATAATTACCAGATTTTTTTAGGCTCAAAAAGACATTTCTCATACCTGGTCAATAGCTCTTGCTCTTAATAAGCATCTCCACAGAGGCTAAAGCTCCCCCTCTTAAACATGACAAAGGAGTCAACACAGTAGCATTGGAGAAACAGTTATAAGAGAGGAGGGTAAAAAAAAATCACAAACATCCTACTAGGACAGAAGTAAATTCGTGGTTAACAGGCCCCAGGTTACAGAAAGTCATCTTTGCAACCTTGTGCCCTTTCTCCTAAGAGCTATAATATAATGATTATTTTTAAAGACCTGCAAATAAACTTCCTTTAATGAACTAACCCTCTTCTTTCTCATGGAAAAAAGGAACAGGAGCTCAAGGGCACAGCATCATATACAGTCTAGACAGAGCATTGCTGATGCATAGGCATTCAACAGAAGATTTGGTTTTAGATCAGCACTGTCCAACAGAACGTCCTATGATGATGGAAATGTTTTATATCTATGCTATCCAATACAGTAATCATAAGTCACATGTGGCTATGGAGCACTTGATATGTGGCTAGAGCAAATGAGGAACTGAATTTTAAATTATAATTAATTTTCACTATTTAAATTTAGTCACATGCGGCTAGTGGCTACTGTACTGAACAGCACAGTTCTAGATAAAGCAAGGTGAATGAATGTAAGTCACCAGGAATTAGTATTTTTATGGACATTCCTGACTTACCAAATAGCTGTCCTAATCTTAATGTTAGAAGTAATTATTACTGTAAATTTGCTCCTTATCAAGTACTTGATTCAGGGATTAAGTGATTATAAACCAGGGGGAAGAGGAAATAAAACCAGACAAAAGACTAAAAGAGACCAACTGATAAGATGGGGGTGAAAAAAGGGAATTTAAATATAAATTAAAAACTTATGTCTCTTCTCTTGGGATGAAAAAAAATTATGCTTCAAGGTAAAATGATAGATTCTATTTAAAAAGTAAAAAAACTTCCCTCTTCATAAATGTTATTTACAGTAAATGAATACACTCCTGGAAAAAAAAGGGACTGTATGTTTTTGTCAATAGAGAACAAAGAAATACCCCAATCTTACCCAGAGGACATGGTACCAAACTGAAGTTCCACCAAAGTCGATGTGGAAATCTGTGTAGCTGTCTTGAACTCCCATTAAGCAGTATTTCTGAACGAATGGCTTGGGAAAGACTGAATCATCTGGCCAGTAATTTTCCACCCAGGAAAGTTTTCTGGCTATGTCAGGGACCTCCACCAACTCAGACATCCTTTAAAAAACAAACACACATACACACACACACACACATCATGCAAATTAAAACTCCTTAAAATTGCATCTCCCAACTCGACCCAAACCAAGAAATTAACTGGAGCTCAAGGTTAATAACAAAATTTAAAGTTTAAAACTCATTGTATTTCTAAATATTCTCTGAGCGTGCCAAAGCAAAATTTACAACGTTGCTATCACTGGACCATTTTAGAAGTCACAATTATGTTTCCTACTAAAATAAATTTATCATTTAACTACATTTAGCTACACCAAAATGTCCAGAACTACTCACTTTGTATCTGAAAATTCAAGGCTGATCACATTTAACACTTTTGGTCTGTTAGGATTCATGAAGTATTTAACATAATTGTGAAGTGTCATTTTGCTGTCTGCCTGCCTTGCCACATCAATGACATCTATCACTTTGTCACCACCTGCAGAGAAAAATTATAGTCTTATTATTGGGCTTAAGAGTTACATGAACAGATGCCCTAAACAAGAATATTTTAAAGACCATATTTACGTGGTATGATAATTAAGCCAACTATAAAAACTACATAGCCTAGACAAAGATTCTTCCTATAATCCTTAATTTTTAAGTCCCATTGGAACTTTTGATAAACGGGATGGTTTTCGATGGAAAAAAGACAGCAATTAAGACAGAGCTGCATAATTAACACTGAGCATAAAAACTTAACGTTTACAAAGCTTTTACATACCAATGACTTCTTTTGTGCAGCTCATGACAAAAATGCATTAGTTGGTATGTGGAAACTGTCACATGCTCTGGATTTCAGTTTCCTCATGCATAAAATGAGGGGACTGATTTCTCTTTCACTTGTAAACACCTAAAATTCTAAGTCTATCATTTTGAAAAACCCATCAGTCATTAGGGACAAGTTAACTAGGACAAACAATTTCTGCTTGCCTGGCAGTGTCCTCTAATATTCTGCTTCAAGAAAAAAAATCACTGGTTAGGAAGCAAAAATCAGTTCTTATCGGTGTCTTTGAAATGAGTTCTGAATTGGATTAATTTACAATTTTCCTATAAAACCGTAAGTTGTTGCTGGCACACCACTGCATCTTCGCCCTAGGAAGCATGATCTGTTTTACAATGTCCTACACGTTGTAAGGGTAAGAGAGAATTCAAAATACAGCAATACTTAATCGATCTGAAATAGAAAACAAATAAATGCCATTTTCTTACTTTAATGTAACTTTATGTAAGTTAAGAAAGTGTTGCCTAGAAGACTTTATACTTAGGAGGCAAGATAATTCTGTTAACTGAAGGGCTTTGCAGTACTAAAAAGTTAGCTATCAAGTAGTTTGAACATTTTTCCCCCTATACTCACATTAACCATTTATTTTCAAATGCTATCTATGCAAACAGGTTTACGTTAAATCTCAGCCTCATCCCCTAATTTATCAAATATTCAAAATTAACTGAATGTGAAGTCATGACATTTAATTGGATTTCATTGGTGAAAAGTTATCAATGAGAATTGCCAATCAATGGCTCAATGAAGGGACAAGTTCTCAGATATTTCATGTACAGAAAATAAAGTATTTAGTGGGTATATAGTTTTGAGTCAAGGTAGATTTGAAATCTAATCCTCAAATAATGTCTATCTACTGCTGACAAGGAATGAGATCTACATGTAGTCAGCTTTATCTATAAATTCCATGATGAGAATGAATTAACTGAAAGTGTCAATAATACTGAAACAGAGAAGATTTTCCCCTTGTTTCTTATGCCTTTCCGGGCCTCAAGATAACAAATTAATCCGGACAACATTAAATGGAGCTATCACTAAGTTGTTAATATAAAAAACAGGTTTGAAAATATCTGTTCTGTCTACAGCCATGCCACCCTGAACAAGCCCAATCCCGTCTGATCTCGGAAGTTAAGCAGGGTCGGGCCTGGTTAGTACTTGGATGGGAGACCACCTAGAAAGACCAACTGCTGTAGGCATAAAAAATAAGGGATTGTAAAATGACAAGGTCCTTACAATCTGTGGGTCAACCCTTTGGCCTCACCCTGCCTCCAAAAAAAAAGAAAATATCTGTTCTTTTTCATGGCCTTTCTCTGGGGAGCAGGAAGTCACTAAAGCATGATCCAGAAATCCTGTGCCCAAATGCTACAGAGGCCTGGAACCAATCCAGCTTCCTAGTGTCTTCTTTCCAGTATCTGTAGCTGTCCCTCGGTAAAAGTTTGCCATAAGCCAAGTACCAGAAAATCTGGACAACAAAAAAAGCAGCAGAATGAGGCTGAGGAAATAAGAGGCAAAATGTTTCATTCTGTTTTTCTGTTAACTGTAGGTCTGCTGAGAAAAAATACTTTCAACATAGGTGATTCTGACTTTCACTTTGCCTGACCCAGGAAGCTGAACTAAATGAACATTTCCTCATTCAAGTTTTAATGTGATTAGGACAGTATCATTTGTTACTTTTACCGTGTTTTCCCAAGTACTTAAAGGAATAAAGTTCGTACCTACATAACGTTCCACATCCATAACAGAAAAAGTAGGTGCAGGAAGCCTCAGTCCCAGATCATCTAATTTGGGGACCATAATAGGGACTTCAAATCCATGTTTCTCCAGGTATCTTTGTGTCAGCTGGCTGCCATGCATTTTCACAATGATTTCATCGGCACTAAGGAAAACATAAAGAGTAAAATGTCATCTTTGTTGATAAGTTCAGTTTTAAAAAATACTCTGGTAATGGGTTAATTTGTATACATTATTATTATCTGTATCAGTGGTCCTCAACCTGTCATACCTAATGCTCCTTTTTGTAACAAACTATGTTTATAGAGCCCCTTTTACCATCCGAAAGTAAAACTCATAATAACTTCAATATATAATAATTGAACAAATATATTTATTATATAAGATGCCTTAACTATAACAAAAAAAATCAGTTTATAGAAAAATATATATTTCAATATGTAATGTTCAGGTAAACTACACTAGAAGAGATAATAGGATGCTTACAATCAGTTGTAATGAGTGGTTGGAGTTAAGAGAATTAATAAGATCAGAAGCCACTCAATACTTGTAAAGGGAAAAAACTGGAGGTGAACGAAACAAACATCATAAGGGGATGTGTAAGAAAATTAAGGTATACATATATGCTACTGTAGACTGTCCAGCAGTTGAAGAGGTAAATTTTTGTATACATATGGAAGGATACCTATGAAATAGAGTAAAAAAAGCAAGTTGCACAACATATGCATAACGCCTTTTTATTTTTTAAAACTTAGATGGATACATATATCTATACATCTCTATAAATGTTTTAAATGTTATTATTTTTGCAGAAAATGGTCTCAAAGGCTTACACTAAGTCTTCAAATAGGGGAAGAAGAAGACAACCTGTTTACTTGTTTTATACACTACATCACGTATGGGCCATTTAGTTAATTTTTATCACTCTACTATGGTTTTAAATGTTGTGAAGGTTTGTGGAGTTAAACAAAATAAAACCAAAGATCTTTAACTAATGGTAATTACAGTGCAGACATTTGTGACCATCTCAATAGCCTGCTCTCATTTGTGTCTACTCTGGCAGAGAAGCCACAGGAACTGCCAGGCCAGGATTTTTAATACAGTTCTTGTGGGTCACAAATCTATTTGAAAAAAAAAAATGAAAGCTCTGGCTCCTCTCCCTGAAAAATGCACATTCCCACAGTGACACTAAATTGTTTATAGTTCTAGGGACTCTTTAGCCTCTCTGAAGCCAATACACACATACAAATAACCAAAGTTCCATGAAGCTATCTATGCTTATTTAGTTCTATTACTTGCAATATGCCAACATTTTCTATTTCTTTTCTTTTTTTTTTTTTTAAGTAAAAACTTGATTGAGAATAATAATGGGTTGCAAACAGACATTTGAAAACACCTCTTCAGATAATGTCACTTTGTCAGGTAACATTCTTATATTTTCTCTGGTCAGAACAGCTTTCCATACCTTGGGAAGACTCGAGAACGTAATTCCTTCACAAAAGTCCTAGTTCCAGCTTGCACTGGTTTGGAACCATCATCAATTTCTGTGTAGTCATGCCTGTGCCAGTTCCTCCTCTTTTTCACTGGATATTTGGAAGATCAGAAAAAGAAAACATTTTTGGTAACTGGTGATACTACGTACTTTCTAATGATTATATTCTATATAATCAGAAATAATAAATGTTAAGTACAATAAAAACACATTTTTAATGCACTTCTAGGCTGAAGAAGTAAATTTTACTTAATATAATGCTGCAACTATAGGCATTTAACTGTGGTTTTTAAAAATCTACTCTTCATTTCACAATTTTAAAATTAAATCAAGAAATTCAAATTAGCAGATGGAGCCTTTTATAATATCCATATTACACATACTATAAAATCTCCGAATTATTTAAAAATCATGTTTTACTAGGACATTAGGTCAAAATATGATTTTATGACCCACCCAAATCTTTCTCTCAGGATAGGGCTTTTAATTCCACATCGGAAATCCATTTTAACAACGCAGTTTCCTTCTCTTTTGTGTTAAGATTCATCCCCCAAACAAGCATGGTTACACTGACACAAAGAAGAGCAGGTGACTGCATCATAATTAAAGGAAGACAAGTGGGCTCACAGAATAAACAACTTTAAGGTAACTTCTAATGCCAAGATCCTGTGATTCCACAGCTCTAGGAGGAATGGTCACAGCAATCAAAATCAGGAGACTTGGATTTGACTCATGGCTCAGCTGTAACTTACTCTGCAACCTTGGTCAAGTCGCTTAAAACGCATCTGGGTCCAGTTTCCTATGTGGAAATGAAGGGGATGAGTGCTGTTTTTCCACCTGTGTGGGGGAACCCTTAATACAGGGGAAGATGAAGAGGCTGAGGAAAGCTCTGAAACTCATTCTTCTTTCCACGATGGTGGCACCACCTACCTATCCTCCATGTGGTACTAACATAAGATTTCAGAGCTATCCTTGGTGTACTCTAACGTAAGATTTCAGTTTTTTATATATATATATGTGTGTGTGTATATGTGTGTGTGTGTGTATATATATATATGTGTGTATATATATATATATGTATGTATTTTTTTTTTAAAGACTGAAAATCACTCTTAAGCCTAAAACCTCCATGATTCTGGGTAATGAATGTACTGATGCCTGCAACTTACTTAGAATGCATCAAAAAAATAAATAAATAAATAAGATGGGGAGACGGTGGGATACTTAATGGCCAGATATGTGGTAAAGCAAATAATATAAAATGTTAATAGTAGATAGAACCAAGATGATGGGTTTAGAGGTACTCAATGTAAAATTCTTTCGATGTTTCCTATATGTTTGAACATATTCACAATAAATTGTGTGAGGGACACAACTCTCTGAGTCTAAATTACTCCAAAGCTTCACCTTACAAAGATCATAATAATATATAATACTGGATCCTCATATGGATAAGGAGAAGTCACGCTAAATAATCAAAGGGGTAGAAATTAGCCTTATTCATATCTAAGAGTCTAAAACAAGATTCCCAAGTAATTCAAGTAATTTATGGCAGTCAGACCCTCAATATGGAAGAGAGTAAATACCATCTTTAAAAAAATCTCATGAGAAAAATTGAGAACTATAAAGCAATCTTCCTAGAAAATCTCATTAAGGTATCCTTTGTGTGTTATACTTTTTCTCATTTAAAATCACTTTTAAAATTCAAGAGTATTTAATTCCAAGCTTTTCCCCATGATCGTAATGTTTATTCTGCTTACTTTTCTTATTATATCATGAGCATTTTCTCATTAAATATTCAAAAGCAATTTAAAGGCAGCCTAGAATTATTTTAAGATATAGATGCATCATATGATTCTTAAGCATTTTTCATTCTGAATCTTTCTTCAAACAAAGTTGAGATTAATATTCATATACATAAATCTGTTTCCCCCATTATTTTTTGAGATAAATTGCTAGAAATGTTAGGGGAAAGACAATGTTTTAAAGATACTTGCTACAAATTGCAAAACTGCCTCCAGAAAAGTGGTAGGTAACTCACATTCTTTTTTTTTTTGTAACTCATATTCTTAACGGTGTATATAAACAGCCTGTTTCAAAGCCCTGAGTCGACAGTGAGCATCATTATTTAAAAAAAAAAAGGAAAAAGAAAAGGAAAAGAAAAGGCTGCCCATTAGAGAACTGTGCTTCATTGTTTTAATGTTCATTTTTACAGAACGGATTAGAATTAAAACAGATTGAGAATTGGACAGCTATGGGTTCAAACTCCAGCTCTGCCAAACGGCTACAAGAAAGAGCTGGTTAAATCATTTTTCTCACATCATGCTGTTAAAAATATCAAAGGAGATAACAGAGGTCAAGTATTTACTTGCCTGGCACCCAGTAAGCTGACAATTACTATTGTTTCCTTTTGAACTTGCTAGATGTTAACAGAAGGCTACAGCTGTCCTGTTGGGCCAACATGCTTGATACATAAAACCAGCCACTGCAAGAGCTAACTGAATTTCTTAAAGGAGGGGGCCAGTGAATATTTTAGTAGTGGTAATAGGGAAGGGAGAAAAAATTTTCATTTTTGAATATGCCTGAAGAGCACTGAGAATATATGTTTAAGTGTTATGCTATTTTTTGGTACCTGCCCTCAAATAGAGTTCTTAAGACTCATTAAGAGGATAAAGTCTAAATTCACCATATTAAGTGGATATTATACTGTCTAGATGGTATCTATAATAAGGAGTCCTGGGGAACTCTGAAGGGAATAGGAACCCCTGGGTGGCAAGCAGGAAAGACTTATTAGCAGAGGGAAAGGGACCAAAAGGGATTATCCAAGTTGGGGATGGAGGGTGAGGGGTATGGAAAGTGAACTTTAAATCAAGATAAAAGAGATTACTGGATCTGGGCATTTTCCCTATAGGCACTTAGAGTTGGACTTCTGCTCAGAAGATAGCCAATGCCTGATCTCATGTCATTCAAGGACGAGAAGAACATGAAGGACCAGGTCATAGACGTCTCTCTGAAGCTTCACTATTCAAAACGCAGGTCATGATCCCTTATGGATTGTGAAGTCAATTTAGTGAGCATGACAAGCTTTTAAAAAATTAAATCATATATGAAAAAAAGGAAATAGAGTGCATCACATGTAGTAATGTCTTAAACACTACATTATTCTTCCTCATACTTACCCACTTAATATTTCATAGAAATGAAATTTGAATTATTTCATTTGGGGGTTATATACTTAAATTCTAAACTAAAACTGTTGTCAGTTTTAGTTCTGCTTTTCTTCTTCAGATAACAACCCAGTATTATTTACTTTCTCCAATAATTAGTCAATAATTATTTCAAGTTATATACTTCATAATTCAGTGCTACATAAAATAAAAACCTTTAAAAACTTTTATGACAAGAAATTAGCCAATTACACATGTCAAAATTCTACCAACCTGCTAACCTCATATTTTATACTGTGTTGTAACAACAAAATATATTATATATTTTACAAGGAAATATTTTAATACATTCATATAGCTTAAATCTCTATACCTTACAAAGAAATTTGGTAATTAACATTTCTAACAAAATGTATGAACAGTCAGTTGCTAGTAAGTTTCTTTTAAAAAATTACTTGCCCATAACCTCGGAACAAAATTTCTATTAAAAAAAAAATTACTAGAAAAAAGGCTGTATTCGAAATAAAGAAGTTGTATAGGTTACCTACATCTGAGCCAAGTGTCTATCAAGGCACAGTCAGGAAAAGGTTCCTTTCAGTTCGAAAATGACTAAGTCTACAGTTTTTCCCTTTAGTTTAATGGACACAAAAACTCTAGTTAAATTGAAAGCTTTGAAAATACGTACTTGATTTTGGGGGCTTTGCACTGGCAATTAAGAATGAGAGTATTTTTTCCCCTCAATATTTACCTTATTTAATACGTTACTTAATAATTCAGACAAAAATTGCATTCTCGATATCTTCAAAAAAAAATCTTTCCTATAGTCCTTGGTGGTTGTAATATAACTAATTATAGTATCATTTAAAGTATTATCATGTGCATGTTAAGTTTTAAACTTTGGTTTTTATTAGAGCATCTAGTACTTACTCAAGGAAGAACCATGTAGAACGGCACAGTTGGGACAGTGATACAGGTCAATGTCAACAGCATGATGTTCTTCTACTCCAACACAGCTAAGATAAAGAGAAATAAAGCCAATATGTAAATATGTCGAAAATCTTAACTATAACAGACTGGTTGGAATTTAACTGAGAAATGCACAACCACCTTACCAACAAATTTTGTAGAGTACAGAAACATGTGCAAGGATAAATTGTATTCTTTTCCGTACACACTTGCTAAATAATTGTGGGGAAGAATACATGGGAGGTGATTCACTATTAGCAGTAGTAGAGGTATCAAAAGTAATGTAATTATAAGCCATAAGACTCTCAATCATTATGTAAATGCCACCTGTTATGGACTCAATATGTCCCCCCAAAATTCACATGCTGGAGCTGTAACCCCCAGTGTGGTTATATTTGGATAGGGCCTCTAAGGAAGCAATCAAATGAGGTCATAGGGCAGGGGCCTCGATCCCACGGGACTAGCGTCCTTATAAGAAGAGACACTCTCTCTGCACACATACACTGAGGATGGCCATAGGAGAACATGGCAAGAAGGTGACCGTCTGCAAGCCCTCTCCAGAAACCAACCCTGGTAGACCTTGCTCTGAGACATTCAGCCTCCAGAACTATGAGAAAATAAATTTCTGTTGTTTAGGCCGCCTAGTCTTAAAGTATTATGTTATGGCAGCTCAAGCCAACTAAGACACAAACTAACTTTAAAATATGGCTGTCATCAGCTAGAGGTGGTTAGTAAGTTTGGGTAACATCACCGACATGGTGAGAGCACTAAGTTCTATCCATGCTGCTTTAGGTCTTACAGCCCTAATTAATCTGTTCAATTAGTTTGAGGCACCGTACCTAGGAAACTCCATTCCATGGAGTACCTGGCAGTGGCGCTTCAATAAAAACACTAAGTTTAAGGGAACCAACTCGGGACCAAAAACACTCTATTAGGACATCTTGAAAATAGGAGTAATTTATTAAAGACAGACCCCAGCAGCTTTGCTACATCCCAAGTAACCTACTGGGGTAAAATTTTGATAAATGTCTGTGTTCCCAAAGGGTATAAAACAAAAAAAACAACCACAAGTTATTTCTGAAAAAGAACTAAAGCAGAACTAACACGAGTTGAGGAAGGAAGATGAAGGACGATGACAATTAACATAGTTGACAGGTGTTAACAGTGGAAAAGAAAATTATTGAACTGGATGATGGTCATATTATCCAGGATATAGCAGAGAGAAGGAAGATGACAGGAAATATAAATAAGACGGTAAGAACTACAAAGAATAAAATGAGAACGTATACCATATATTTAATCTTCACCTCATAAGGTAAAGAAAGAAGAAGGGCCGAAGCAATAATATGAGGAGAGAGCCGCTAAGAAATTGCAGAAATAATGCCAGACCCCGATCCAGATTCAGGAAACCCAATAAATCCTAAGCAGGACAAATAAAAATAAGTTTTTCTGCAGAAAACAGAAGTCAGAAAATTTCAAAGCTGTAAGAGAAAAACAAAGGTTAGTTAAAAAAAAATGAGAGCCTTCTCTGAACAATAATGGAAGCTAGAACATATTAGAGTATCTTAAATGTCCTTAAAGAAAATGTCTGTTAATCTAGAGTTCAATATTCAGTAAAAATGTTTCACGAAGGAGGAGAAAAAGTATTTGCAGACAACCAGAAATAGAGTTCACCTCCAGGTAATCTACGATAGAAGAAATGTCAAAGGATGTACTTCTTGCAGAGGAAGCTAACCACAAAGAGGGCTGAAATGCAAGAAAAAAATGAAAAGCTAAGAAAAGTAATACATATGGGAGTAGATTTATATGAATACTGACTATACAAAACAATGTCGTGTGAGATTTAAAAATCTATAAAAGACTAAAACACATGACAACAGCAGCATTTGAGTCAGGAGAGGACAAAGGCATTAGAGGGTCCTAAGGTGCTTACACTGGATGGATGGGGAAGGTAATGATCACCATTAGACTTCACTCGTCAGTGGAGGCTGCCTATCAACTTATGACTGAAGTGTGATGGTAATCATCAGACAACTGCGGAGACAACTAAAAACTCCAGTTAAAAGACACAGGTTATCCCGCTGGACATCAACAATATAATTCACTGGTTATAAGAGAGACACATAAAACGAGGATACAAAAAAAATATGAAAGTTAAGATATGAGCAAATAAATACAATGAAAATAGTAATCAAAAGAAAATACAGCTATATTAATATTAGGTAACATAGAACCTAAAGCGAAAAACAGGAGATATACATGTTCACTTCATAATGATAAAAATTTCAATTCACCAGGAGACTACACCAGGAACAACTGTAGTGGCAGATTTTGACAACTCTCAGTATGCGATAGAATAAGTAGGCAAAAACAAAAATCTATGAGATTTTTATATACAAAATTTGAACTACAAAATTAAAAAATATGGCCTAATGGATATTTATAGAATATTATATCCAACATCTATAGAGCATATATTCTTTTCAAGAACACATGGACCATTCATAACAAGTGACCATAAAATGGGCCATTGCCAACTCTTGAAGATCTGAAATCATAAAGAGTATATTCTCTGGCCACTGTTCAATTAAGCTAGAAATATATGAAAATCAAAACAGTAACTTGAAAATCTAAATGTGTTTAGAAATTAAGATATAAACTTCTAAATAACCCATGTGTCAAAAGATAAATCGTAATGAAAATCTGAAAATTATTTTGATCTGAACAATAATGAAAATACCATATAACAAAACCTGTAGGATGCGCAACTTGTAAAAAGAAATGTATAGCTTTAAATAATCATTTAAAAAAGTTTTTAACTAAAAGACTATTAATTTCCAAACCAATAAAATCAACTTTATGCAAAATTTTCCACACATTTATGTACAACGTCCTGGATCCATGGTTTTTTGTAAGATACCCAAAAGGGTTTCTGTAACCCAAAATAAGAATCATCAGAGGATGCACACTTCTTGATCTCAAAACTAACTTACAAAGCTACAGTAATCAAGACAGTATGGTACAGTAATCAAGACAATAAGGAGATCAATACTGATCAATGGAATAGAACTGAGAGTCCACGAATAAACCCTTACATTTAGGATGAACTTATTTTCAACAAGAGGATAAAGATTATCCCATAAGGAAAGGAACAGTCTTTCGACAAATGGTACTGAGACAAACACACACGCATTTGGACTCCCACCACACACTACATAGAAAAATTAACTCAAATGAATCACATACCTAAACGTAAGAGCTAAAACTATAAAACTCCTTAAATAAAGCATAGGAGAAATCTTCAAGTTCTTGAATCAGAGAATGGTTTCTTAGATCCTACACCAAAGGCAGAAGGGACAAAAGAAAAAAAAAATAGATAAACTGCTGGAGGTCGCACTGCAGTCCAAAGGCTTCTGTTTTCTCAGCTTATTTTGGTGTAAGATAATCAGCCGAGTTTAGACAGTGGCAGAGAGGTGTGAAGAAAGAAAGTATTAAATAGCTGATGTGAAGAAAGGAAAGACAGAGAAATATATGACGTTGCTAAGGCAGTGTTGAGAGTCCACCTGAGGTCTGTGATAATGAATTCTAAATGGAACCATTTCTGCACAGTTGTGTGATTGTTTTTGTTTTTGTTTTTTCTTTGTTTTCCAGCAAGGTTCAACCACATGGTGCAGGCCCAGAGGAGGAGGTTGGGTCCATCCACAGTTGGGGTTTTGTAGGCAAACACCAGAAAGGGAGTTGAGGATATTTACAAGGGAGTTAGGATAAAGATAAACCATGAAATAGGCTGGGCAGAAGAGGCACGAAGACAGAAGGTAGTGAGAAGATGGTGAGGAGGTCTGAGGGGGTCTCAGCGCGTTCCTAGCGCCGACTCAGTGGAAGGCTTCGAGCAGTGATGTGTAAGGGGCACAGATTATGCTCAAAGAGTAGAATGTTCAGAATTTGAAATTTCTGAGGGAGCAAAATCTCTAACAGTGATAAGGTAGGAGAGTAACAACAGCAGGTGGAACAAGAGAAAACTCACCGGAGATAAGTGAGATGTGTGAGAAGTATCTCTACATACAGTGAAACGAAGTTCGAAGTTCAAAATCAAACTTCCCTGATTTTGAAAGTGAGGTTCATTAGGTGTCAGTAATAGGGGCTACACTCTGACCAGAACAGAAACTCAAGGCCACAGAAGCCAACTTGACACTTCTAGAAACTCATGGTTTGTCTTGTCATACCCTGACTATGACCACATTCTTCATTCTTAAAGTGTTGGTTACACATAAAGAATTAAGTGAGAAAAAAATCATTAGCTGTGTCCTGGAAAACCTAAACCAGTGTATATCATAAATTCATCCATGAATATCTAAGATACATAAATAAGGATGACTCCCCCAAGGCTTCAGGAAGAAAGAAAATATAGGGACATTCCAATTAATTAAGGACACTTTCGGCAAAATTTAGCCAATAATCCTCAAAGATCCATGGTTCCTCTCTCCAGCTTCTAAGCTCTTCGCCCCCATGTTCACCCTTAATACTCTCTTTTACTAAAATGTCAGAGCTATCTTCAAGTTTGATTGATTCTAATTAACTGGCAAAACGTTTACAGCTTACATTTAAAAATTTCAGAACTTAATAGTAAATCTGGAATATTAGTAAAAACAATAAATTTGATAAATTAGTAAATCTGAAATACAATCTTTTAAATTAATCCTATGAAACAAATTTTTTAAAAAATCAAATTAAACATAAAAATTAAATGTTCCTAAACCAAGGTTATTTCAGATCTTTGATGGGCACTGAAGAACTGCTATGCACACTTTGGTTTCTCTCTCAGAGAGTGGGGTAACTTCTCCCACCCCACATCCCCTCCTACCCCGCCCCTCACAATCACCAGAGCTTCAAACTAGAGCTTTAACAGGAGAGCAAATGCAGTGGGGACACATAAAATGCAGAACCATGAAAGCAAATTTTGTAAGACTCATTTTCAATCTTTCCTTAGTCTCTCTCACTCCATTTATTTCTCTTATGACACTTACCTTCGTATACAAATTGCCCTACTTTTCCTAACAGCAAAATGGTCAATGTTTATTAGACCATTGTGTATGTGTGTGTGTGGGGGGGGTGTTTTCCTATAGGAGTGCCAATCTGACCTTTGCTGAATAGCTTCCATCTATAGAACAGCCTCAATGCCATTTGGTGAGTGAGACAGTGACAACTTTAGCACTTTCTATTGTGTTACTCTTCTGAAATTGTTGCTTAGCTGGCATTTTTTTTTGACACTTGATGAGCACAGAATTGAATTAATGACTAACCAGAATTCCTCAGGATCTGCCAAACATTCTCTTTTTTCTTCTTGGATAATGCTCCCATTTATATTCTCTACTCTTGATGTTATGAGAGTGGGTGGCCAAATTCTTTAAGATCTTACTGTCAGTGGACCTCACTGGACATTCCTCTAGCATCACAGGATATTACTCTTCCCATTCTTCACTGATCTTACATTACCTAGTCTTCAAAGCCCAACTCAAATTCCTCCTCCTTGATGAAACTGCACTGGATCGCCCACAGAAAGCTCTTCAACATTTTATTGATACACGTTCCCACTCACTCATACCTAATACTGAGCTATTTCATATACCCTGTCCCCTGGAGTTAGCTCAATACTTCTCCCAGTACCAAGTACAGTGCGCCCCCTTCAACACGATGAGCCAGCGAATTTCTGCTGATTATTAAATGTGCTGAAAATGTATCTGAAAACAGGTAAGTTGTGGTAAAGTTACAAGCAACTTAAAAAGAAGTCTGTTCGGCCTGAATTTTTTAAGAATTTGGTATAAGAACTAAAGGCAATAGGTGGTAAAAAGATTTCTCTTTCAACATATAAATTTATCTTTCAACATATAAATTAGATTTTTTTCACCTTTCCTTAGATGGTAGAAGGCTGTAATAATGGAATTCATTCATTTTAAATTTTGCTTCAGTACAAGTTTTCGCCTATGTATCAAAATATTAAAGTTCACTTTCTCGCCCAAAGCGCCAAACCACTCGATTTCCTCGTAATGAGAAGACTGAGTCATCGGGAGACCCCCGAAGCCCCACACTAACGTCCTCAAAGAGGGTGGGGAGTGGCCCTTGTGGAAAATTAACTCCAGGAATACGGAAGATAGCCGACAACCTGCTCTTCATATTGCCTTTCACATCATTTATCTCTGGGGTCAGTTGAGGTCACGGAACAGCCATAAGTCAGGCAAGGCCCTCCTAGCCTAGTGCCATGCCGCCAGATAACGAGCTTCAGTGAGATGTGTAAATTTTGGAATTAGAAAAGTTTGATTTGATTTCTAGCTCCTCTAGTTTTGACTTTGAGCAAATTTCTTAATTTCTCTGAGCAAGAGTTTCCCTAGGATTAAATAGGATGATAAATGTAAATATATAAAGCACAGGGCTTGGCATATAGTAACCAATGGCACAGTAAATATATTCAGTAATAAATGGCAGCCATAGACATTGTTCTGTTTCTACTAGGTACCAGTCACAGCTCATGCAGCTCTGGGCTTATTATTATCTATGAGGTTTGAGCCTAAGCAGGAAACTTGGCTTTATGATTAGGCTTAATAGTTTTTCTTCAATGATGTCTCTTCAGAGAACACTCAACTAGATACCCAAATAGCCATTCTTTAAGGGGAGAAAAAAGAGAATTTATTTTCAATTTTTAACTAATTTTTGATGGTTGCATTCTCCAGAGTCAGTCTGCGATGTTAGAATCCTGGCTACCCCACTTAGTAGCTGGCTGACTTTGGATAACTTACTTTGTCTGTTTTTGTCTCACTGTAAATACGGAGATGACAGTATTCCCCTTAAAGAGTTATTATGAAAATTAATTAAATTAATATATATAAAATGCTTAGAATGAAACTGGAAAACAATGATTTTGCTGGTTCAAAAAACTTAATAGATTGATATTCCTATGAAAAGTACTACGATACCAACAGGCATTTTCACTTTTAAATTATGTTTTATGCAGCGTTTTAACACTGAGATATTTTATTACCAGATATT